ACCTAGCAGTGTCCCATGCTGCTCTTCCCAGAGCAACACACTAAGCAGGGTGACAAATGCCACCCATTATCGCTCTGTCACTGAGACGAGATCCTAGGTGACCAGTCTGTAGAATGCTAGTAATCATCAGCGATAACACTGCTGAACTGGACAACAGAGCCTCCAATATCAAGCCAGACATTAGAAAGGTAATTTAGAGAACTGTGAAAGAAAAAATCCAACCTGTGATCAGTATTTTTACTGATAATCAGGTATTACCAACATGCTAACTCTTAATAAAAGAGGTTAAGATGTGAGATTACCTCCATCTTACAATTATTTCTAAGCCCATTGCTCAATGTAGGGTTAAAAAGACAGTCAAAAGATTATGTCCTCCACGCCTTCCCCAATAGAAGCTTATCACCTACACGCTTCTACCACAATACCATTACAACACACTACAATGTCATATAGTTATTGACAGACTGCTGCTTTAGGTAGCTGCAGGAAAAAAAAAAAAAAAAGTAGAACTGAAGATAAAGCTTCTTTTAGTGAGAAGTTCAAAAAAAAAAAAAAAGAAAAGAAACAACCACAGTCTGCCAGATGTTAGCAGAGTTGGTCGTCAGAATTCCCTTACGATGCAAAAAGCTGAGTCTAACATAATAAGCTGAGCTACACATCCAAATTCCACAACACCCCAATACAGGAGATAGAAGCCAAGGCAACGTACTTCCATATGACTAGTGCAGTCCTAGTTACAGATTAACTTGCCCAGAGGCCTTTACAATAAACAGAGAATACACCAATTATCATAAACACAGTTTAAAGGAAAATGCACTAGCTTCCAAGTAGGAAGGGAAACAGATTTGATAGTTCATGTCAGCAGCGATCGTTTTGTCAGTCATTCCTAAGGCAAGGAAGATGAGATAGCACGCTCCTTTCCAAGCCTAATGAATCAACTAATAAATCATTTCTCAAAGCCTGCCACAAGCCAGCTAAGTGCTCCAAGCCTGTCTTACAAGCAAGACTCCAGTAATGGCCTTCGCTCCTGATGTGGGGCTTCAGAAAAAGGCAACCCATCCAAAACATCCATGCAGCATAGTTTGATCAATCATTTTTTAACGCTTACCTTATACTTTTACTCCATGAAGCAGCAACAGAAAAAGGTCTCTTGTAACACCTATAGCTCTCAGTCGAGATTAAGCCAGCAATCCCTAAAGAACAGATCATTCCCAATCTGACTTAAGGCTGAAGTAAAGGCTTTGTTCAGGTGAGACCTCGTAAGGCAACAGATCCCATCTGATAGCACAGGCCTCTTCAGGGGAAAGCTTTGTTCCTTTCCCCCACAGCCTTTTCTTTGCTGCCACTGTGCCGGCTAATACCTGACCCCAGGAAGAGACAGTTAACTTGCCAAATCAAGAGAAAAGTCTACCCAGAAAAAGAGCAGGTATGTAGCTGCTGGTTGAGCAAGCTGAACTAGCTCAACCTGAGGCTGAGCGCTGCCAAGGCCAGCAAGGAGAAAGGAGCACGCTGTCAGGAAGATACCTCACTGCTAGGCCAGCATTTCCAGCTGTCGCTACACCAGTTCGGTTCGTGAACATCCACCCGTTCAATTCAACAAGAGGTGATTGAACACATCAGTTCTTAATGTCAAAGTTCAGGAGTACCGAAAGGGAAAGCCCACTGACACTCAGTGCAGTTGAAAATAATTACATACTTACGTAAATAATGCAACCACAGCTCATTAAATCAGAGTTTAATTTCTCCTCGCTAATCTATAGGATCACTTCCTTTTTCAGTGGATCCGAATCAAAAAACAGCAGTTTTTGGTAAGCCTGTGCTGCCTTATTAATGGAAGGAGAGCTGCATCAGTTCCATTACAAAAAACAATACAGCGCTGGCTTATAGCTGACGGGCTTTTGTTGATTACTTCACTGTCATGGAATACATGGAAACACGGTAACATTTCACAGTAAAGTTTCATGGTAACATGGAAGAATAAAATAATAACTCAGCTTCCTTTTTCAGGGAGCAAAGAACAAATTTGTGTGGAAATGCATTTTTGCTCAAAAAATATATATATCTAAAGACAGCTTGAAATGCTGCCCAAACTCTCCTCTGCCTCTCCACTAAATTACCACCATTATTTGTTGGTACTCCAATCTCCACACTACTGTCCCGGTCAGTGGATGTAATTTTTCAATTGAGCTTCTTGAAAAAAAAAAAAAAAAGGTTAAAAAACATCTTGAAAAGTGATTTTTTTTTTCTTTATATATGTTAAATATCCTAAAAAACACAGATGTTAGCAGTCTACTTTAAAAGATGACTTACAAACTAGACTTAGCAGATGCAACATATTTAGGATTTAATGGAAACTAAAAAAAAAGCTTAGCATCATTGATTTCAAGAAACATCCTTTACTCAATATTAGCATTATTTACTCTTAAGCACCACGCATGGCTCAAGTGTGACTCTTACTTGATGTGCCCTGATCTGCAATGGATTATCAATACAAAGATTATAGCAGTATCTCAGACACAGCTCCTTGAAATAAGGTCCTGGTGGTTCTTTCACTCATTTGAATAAGAGCATAACATTTCCATAGCAAGAACAGAAGCAGACCTTAAAAAAAGACCAAATCATAGCTGCTTGATACATACACAGCACAGCTTCACTAACTTCAACCTGTACTCATTTTTGTGACTTCACCAAAATGAAGAGAAGATTACAGTCTGGAAGTCATTAGGGAAATTTTTACGGGGTACTTAGATAATTATGCAATAACAGCTAAATTATTAGCATTTGTATTAGGCAGAGGATCACAAATAGGTTGGCCTTCAACCAATAAAGTCCTTCTTCCCTCCCATTGCTGAGGTGATGTCTCACAAAGTGGTAGTTTGTCCACTTTAAGTCAGATTTACACACTACTAATTCAGGTAACATCAGCTCTCTCCTCTTACGATAGCCACAAAAAAAAAAAAATCTAACTTTTGATACTGACAAACCCAATAATCAGTTGAAAGCCTATCAACCTGTTCTTATGCTGACTTTGTCCACAAAGTAAAGCGACTTCCAATTGAATAGTTTCAAAATAAATTCCAAAGAAACAAGTATTACAAGTTTCAGACAGTACATTTTCCCCATTCTCAGTTAAAGTACCTTCCCTAACCTATTTCAGCTGGTTCTCTAGATTCATTGAAGTTTTACGCACATAAAATATGAAATATATTTTTTGTTGACATTTTAAGAGCTCACTGAAACAAACTATTCTGAACAAAGTGTATGCTTTACATTTTTTTAGCGAAAAATTATGTAATACTCTAACAGGTATATCTCAAAGCTCACAAGTTACCAATCTGACAAACTAAAATTTTCTGTTACTGCGCACCATCAAAAGCAGCTTTTAGCATCTAGAAAAAAAATATTACAACGCTAAAACTCAAAGACATTTTATGATTTGAAAAAGTTACTCAGGTCCCTACTTTCGATGCAGTTCAGAGCTTTAGATTTTATTTTTATTTATTTTAAGTGTGACAAGAGATGACTACGATAACTTGCAAGAACCACATGTAACATTGGACTGCATAAAGGCCTGCTCTGTTATATGCAAGACAACTCTGCAGTTGCTTGGTACAGAAAAGCAAACTTATATATCAGAACCCAGACATGGTAATAGTTCAAATGACAGATTTACAGAGATATTGACAGAATATCTTGTAAATTGTAGAGACAGCAATTGCTTATAAATAGCAATTACTGCCTGATACAAAACACTCATCACACGCTTAAAGAAGCTGTTGTCTAAGTATTATTTAAAACAACTAAATTATGAAAATTCATTAAAGTGTGAAACTAAAATCCATACACACTTTTCCACATAATTATACATGACATACTCGATCTGTCAAATCACAGTCAACAGATAACGAGGTAGCCTTTATTCTCCAGTTGCTGCTTATGTTTTATACAGAGGAGCAGAGATTTGGGCATTAGCTTAGGGGGCCGTAGATCCAGGTACGTCTCCTTGCTTGCCCACAAGCTTTCTGCACAGCTTTAGGGACATCTCTAGCTCTCTGTGCCTTCATCCCCTGTTGCACGGTGGACTAAGAGCAGGAAGATTTCGAAGCGCTCACCTCACAGCAGGTGAATGCCAAGCATATAAGACAACAAACACCCATTTTTTGGCACATAACCCAGAAACCTAGCAGTTGTTATGCCTGTGTTTACATTCACTGAGCGACACCCATTCACTTGGCATGACAAATTCTGAATCCTTCCCTAAATGCCGTCAAAATCAAGGACCTGAAGACACACCATGCAGAGAGGGTTTGTCCATAAATACGGTGACCTCAGACACCAAACGCACGCGCTGTTAGCCCCGCACCAACTGCTAACTGTTAAGGGTTCTATCTCAAGCTGCATCAACGGTTCTTTCCTATAAAAACAACTTTCTCTGCATCCATTATCTGACATTTAAACCTCATCTCGTCGCATTTAGGAACAATCCCCGGACCACTCCACGCTCCAAACTGATCGGAAAGGCACCAACTTCGGGCTAACACCCACCGGAGCTCCCCAACCAGCGCGACCAAGCCACCCTCCGCCCACCGGCCTAACCGCAGGGCTCTGACACCACCACAATCACGCCGGGCATTCCCTCCCGGCCCCCAAGCAGCAGGTGAAGGAGGCCGGGAGCCGCCTTATTACCCTCAAACCCCCTCATTCCTACACGAATGTCACACTGGCAGCGAGGCCCAGCGCGGGCACACCCCTCCGAGCACCCCCTGCTCCCACTCCCACCGCTGCCGGCACCGAGGCTGCCATCCCCACCCCCCCTCAGCCCCAACCCCCCGCCCCGACCCCACAGCAGCGGGGGGAGCAGCCCCACAGCTGCCGGCCCCGGAGCTCCCCGGGGGCCCTCAGCAGCGGCGCCCGCTGCCCCCACAGCCCCCGCCACAACCCCCACAGCCCCCGGGGACCCCCGGAGCCCCCCGTCAGCCCCCCCCGCAGCCTCCCGGTACCTTGCGGACCCCCTTGTAGATGTAGAAGTAGAGCTCCCGGCCCACATTGAAGCAGAGCCGGTCGCCGTTGCCGCTCTGGTCGTTGACGTTGACGAAGGAAACGCGCACCGGGTTGGAGCCCTGCGAGTTGAAGGGCACCCGGTTGGGCCGGCTGTACTCCGAGTGGCTCAGCAGCTTGTACAGCCCCTCCCGGGTGGTGAACTGGGTCTTAATCTCGTTCATCTCCTTCCCTCCTCCCTCCGCCGCCATCTTGGAAAGGAGCATTCATCCTGCCCCGGCGCCCGGATGTGGCCACACTGCGCAACCGCCGCCGCCGCCGGCGCTCGCGCGGCCCTGCGCGGAGGCGGCCACGCAAACGGCGTAAGGGGGAGGAGCCGCCGCCCCTGTTTACCGCGCCGCTGCGCATGCGCCGCCCCCGCCCGCCCGGGGGAGGGACCGCCAAGGAGGGGGCGGGGCCGGCGGGGACCGGGGCGGGGATGGCGGGGGGGGGGGTGCACAAGATGGCGGAGGAGGGGATGGGGGTGAAGGGCTTGGGGTTGGTGGTGGGGTTCCCGAACCCCTGCACGAGGATGAGGCTGTGAAAAGAGAATAAATGCAAATGTAGATTGAGGTGTTAAGCCTGTGGTTCCCCGAAATTTCCACTAGGGAGGCAAGTGTCCTCTGAGTTTAATTATATCCTCCTCCTCACAGTGGGCTTAGGCTAATCAGAGACTGCTCTCCAGCTGTAAAAAAACAAAAGGTGACATTTCATCTCATAAAAAAAAAAAGGTGACATCTCATCTCCTAAAAAAAAAAAAAAGTGACAGATATCTCTGACATCAAAACAAGGAGTTGGACTTGATGATCCTTATGGGTCCCTTCCACCTCAAGATATTGTATGAGTCTATGAACACAACATCTCCTCTGTCTTCAGGTACAGGTTTCCACTGCCTCCCTTGCATCAGTTCCAGTAGTCATGCAACAAAAGGGTGAGTCAGAGCAGCTCGAAAGCTAATGCCACCAGAGAAATGGCAGGCTCTCGGTCAGGTAAGAAAACTGTCGGTCAGTAACGAAGTTGGTCCAATTCAACAGAGAACTGCTAGATACAAAATAAGGAAGGACTTGGGAATGTGCAGCTAGGGGAAGATCAGCACGTTGTTAGATTGCCTTCTAACAATGCACTTTCAAAGTGTGGTTTCACATTGTACCAGAGTTGCTGTAATGTAGCTGCTAGTAAAGGGGTTTTCCTGCTCTCTTTTTCCTTGACTGACTGTCTGCTGCTACTTCCTTCACCAGCAGTGTTGCTCATCTGACCTTATGACAAACTGCTTATAAAAGATTCTGGGGCAGAGAATTAGCCCCTCTGTAAATATGAAATGAGTCGGGTTAGATGAAAAACAGACTGGATAAGGGAGGGGATGGGGGTGCAGAGCAGGAGGGATGCAGAACCTCCCTTTCTTTCCACTAGATCATCTCAATCACAGAAGCCCACCCAGACTCCAGGGGGCTAAAGGGCTTTATTTTCAAATCAGTTTAGTTCAAAGGGATTTAGTTTGAAGCTAAATACTACCTTATTGACAATCATCAAAATATTGGTACAAGGTAGCTGAGAGACCTGAAACAGCTGAAGACCTCCAGGTTAACTCGTGCAGAATAGAGTATGTAAATTAGTGAATATCTGAACAAGTACAGATAATTGAACTGTAATGAGGCCAGGTATTGAAGCCTTGCTTGAAATTCTTAAGATAGAGACAATCAATAATGACCAATAGATCTTTCCAGTTTATCAACCAGCTGCTATATAGTATTGATGTCCTCCTAGAAGTACGTGAAGTAGGTGAGCAGACCTGCAATTATTCTAAGAGTCTTTATCTAGAGAGTGGTTCTTTCATGCAGAAATTTCATGAATTGAGTTCCACAAAGAAGGTCAGAATGTTTTCAGTCATTAAAAAAAAAAAAAAAAAAAAAAGGCAGGAAATGGGAAATGCAAGGACCTCTTAATGTCTTAATGACAATAGTATTGAAAACAAAGATCTAACCCAAAAAAGTGTTGCTTCAAACTGACATAATGAATATGTCTTACTCATTACACACTGACAATGTTGGGTAGATCACTTCGAGCGACCAAGCAGGCAACTTTGGTAGAGGGATCGTGAGGAATGCAAACTGTACTGAAACCACAGCAGGCCATCTATCACTAATGGAATGAGCGTGATCCAAAGAATAAACAAAGTTAACATGTACCTGGTTATCAGCAGTACATGATGGTGCAGAAAGTCAAAGAATTGATGTAGTGTTTAACATTTACCAAGAAACATCAATAAAAGCTGCTGAGAGATTCCACAGAGAATCCAAGACAAATATTCATTTGAAAAACACAGCTGCAAGTCACAAGAACGCTATTGTACAGCCCCATCAACAATCCTCACCAAATACTTGGTTAAAGAATGGGAAAAAGAGATTACAATGATAAGCCTTCTGAAAAAGTTCTCTGTACTACTTGTAAATTCTTCTGTTTCAAGCTAACCAAAGATTATAGTTCTGAAATGATCCCATCAGGACGCCCATAGATGTTTTGTTTTGTATGTACAATCAATGAATGGAAGTCAGGCAGAATCACTGCTTTATTGTGCCTGGACTTCTCACTAGTGTTAGGGTAAGCTGGAAGGCAGACATGAGCAAAATTCACTAACATTAATAAAATAGTGCAGTTCTTAGAGATTGATTTATGCACAGCATGAATTGGTCCTGCAGCATTTCAGGCTGCAGTGTTATTAGTGCTTTTGCTGACTGTGAGGAAACTGGAGCCTTAAAACTTAGGTGATACAAGTACAGTTATTAACAAAACTTTTCTATGCTTGAATTGAATGCCATCTGTTAGTTGTCTAAAAGTGCAACAACTGAGATCAGTGATGCTTTTATCAGCTCTTCTGAGAAAAAAAAAAAAAAAAAAAAAAAGGTATTGTGACTGCATTCTACTTCATCATGCTAAAAGTATCTATTCAAGCATGCACTGCCTGCAGATTATGAGGTGGGAATCAAGAGACCATGTCTGCAGTCTCTGTCAACTGTAGGCTGTCTGTCACATCTTGCTTGGATTACTGATGTCAAAAAGAATTTAGGTATTTAGTGGCTTCAGAGTATCAAAAGCTTTGCAATGTGTAAGTTCTTACCAAATTGTGAATGCGTGAGAATTACCATCTGACACAGGTATACACAACACATTTGAGCTAGTCAGATTAATGGTGGAAAGGAGAGTGCAATGCAAGTTCCATTTAATATTAGGAAAAGAACAATTGTGATGTTGGAAATATATTTCCAATGGCTTACATGGATTTTAAAGTACATCTAATTTATTTTCATCATGAGAAAATATTGTTTATGGCATAGTTTTATAAATTTTCAGTTCATAGCTCCCTATTTGCATCAAGAATCTCTTCTTAACCACTACATATAATTAACACTAAAGACATATGATAATGCATTGTTTTATGCATTACAAAACAAAAGGATGTTAGGGAAGCAAGTAAATCTCTTCTAATCTAGAATACATTGTGAGTTTTTGTGCTTTTGTCCCTCCTCAGGAACAAAAGTACGTGGAAAAGAATTGTTACCATAGTGTTGAAGATTCATTTCTTAAAAATAAATGGCTATTTTTAAAAACAAACATTTGTTTTAAAGAAGGCAAGGTAAAAGAAATCTGATTTATGGTTGGGATTGGATGACAATGAACTCTGTTGTGTCTTTGAAGGAATTTATTTTGCTGTTTGCAGTCAGCTCTCTGAAAGTTGTCTCCTGAACAGACTAGCTTACCTCCATAGTGAAGACTGTTATTCTTGTCAAAAACAGTTCTTATCTTGAAGCTTTAGCTATCCTGGAAATTATGTTCTCTGAAGATAAAACTGAGATTATGAAGTTAATTTAAATTCTATGGGAAGCCAGAGAGATTGGTTTGATATGCCTGCAAATAGCTTGTGTTTCTGAGATGTGGTCCAGCATTATGTACTTCTCAAAACTCCCTAGACACGTAAGACATATTATCCATCCATACAGTAGTGCTGTAATCCAGCTGAGGAATGAGGAATGACAAAGCTGTGAATAAGTAATGTCTGATTGTTGTCCAGCAGCAATAATTTAGTTCCTTACAAAACTGGAATTTCTAGACAGTGATGCTTATCAGTGCTGCAGTGTGAGAATTTAATGCCATCAAGAAGGCCAAGAACATGCCTAAGTTGCAGTCACTCGTGTGTTTGTAACTTAAGCAGCAAAATACTTAGTATGTAAATGTTTCAAAATTATTTTCTCTGCTCATCACAGCCAGCTATTTCATTCAGCTGGTTTTCACTGGGCAGGTCATGTTGGTGATCGTGTTGTGATCATACATTATTATTGATAGGTTTTGCAGGTCAGCCAAGCAACCTGTAGTTGGTGTGAGCAACAGTTAGCTAACAGTTAGTCATCCATGCAAATTAACACGAAAAGAGGTTGTCATTGTGTGCTTAAAGTCTCCCTTAAGCAGAACAGGAAGTAAGGAAAGCTGAGAAAAGTGTCCTTGGAAAGAACAGCTAAGGAGAGGGAAGCATTACCAGCCTAAAACAAAGAATAAGTAAGTTCTTTGTTTGCCTAAAAAGTGGACAGAATCAAATGGCTCTGAACATTTTGCACTTTAAAGAGATCTGTAGATGTCTTACATTTATCCTAGGCTCACCAGTCTCCCCCAGGCCATCTACTGAAATGATGATGAGCTCTTGTTAATAGCGATTATATATCATGGCTTAGTTTTGCATAGCTGTATACATATTCAGTAAAGCTTGCTTGTTAATGGATGGGTTGTGTGTCCTGACTACTCCACTGCCTAGTGCCCAGATTTAGCACTTTGGCAAGAACAAAGTTGTCGTCCTTCTGCATACTGTTTGCTGGCACTCAAGCTTGTTTTCTGAAAAAGACTGGAGAGAGGATTAATCTAGAAATGTACAAGCTAAGACCATCTCAATGAAGTTATTTTTCCATTGCTTTGGTATATTTCTCAAGGAGGGACTGAAAGCTTGGTAGCATGTTCTGCGTTCCCTCATCACCATTCTCACATGAGACAATATTATCTCGAAATAAACATGCTGCAGAGAGCTTCGGGGTAAGAATGGCTATATCTGCTTTCTGTTGAGCCTTAGAAGGAGATTCTTCATCAGTGTCACAAGTGTAATTTAAATTCCATGGCCTGAATGACTGACTCCAAATTGTTTTAGATGAAGCATTGAACTTTTAGGTAGATGATCTTCTATTGGAACTTTTTATGAGCTTTTCTGTGAGCTCACTGAAGCATAGAAGCTTTGGAAGCTGTATAGCACAGGCTGTTCATTCAGTACTAGTTGAATCATTGCACGTTT